AGAGGTGTGAAAAATCAGCTTCTCTGTCTCCAGAAAATAGGAGAGGCTGTCTTCTTTTTAACCTTTGTAATTCCCCTTCTATTCTCTGTGACATTCATTCAGCTGCCAAGAGCGTTTGGCAAGGTTTGGGCCAGCGAGCACACTTCCAGTGACCGCTAACCTTGGTATGTCCTGACACTTATGATGAGTATCTGCAGGACACAGAAGGCAGGCAGCCTGCTATGTCAGGCTTTTATTATGTACTGCAGAGGCTAGGGACAGTCAGTTTAATAAAACAAATCATCCTTGAAGGTAAAGCAACTGGGAAGAGGAGGAAGACGGGAGAAAAATGTGTCTTTGCCACTCATTCCGATGGAAAAATAAAAGAACAGCAAAATAACCACCCACCCAACACACCGTGTGTGTGTGTGTGCGCGCACGCACGTGTGCACACACACAAGCAACCCAGCTGTGGACTGGGCAGACTTGAAAACCTCCTCTCATTTTCCACATTTCATGGAAGTCCACAAGGCTCTTGTTTGCTCTGAGGAGACTCAAGTACATACCGTGATGAAATTGGTAGAAGCTGATAGCCAGCCCCCTTCAAATTTATGCATATCTTTAAGTATCTCATTACTTTATATTGTTCTCCAAATATCAAGGCAAGACCATCTGGGGTGAGGTTCCTAGGTTGGGATGCCTTTTTATCAAAACAAAGTTTCCACTCTCCTCTCCTGAGGAACGCTGGGCAAAGCAGCTCCCACAATAGCCTCAGAGTTCCAGCCAAAGACTTTGGAAGCCTTTTGTTTTTTCCCTGTGGCATGTCCAAAGGCAGGGCCTTCTCCCCTCCTCCGCCAGCAGCCCCCCCACCCCAGCCGCCTGCATTGTCTTGCATTCCAGTGACTTGATTGACTGTTACCACCTGATGCTGAGGAGATACTCTAGGGTTCATTCTGCAGATTGTTGGGTTCTATTAAAAGAAACCCAGATAAGGGATTACTTGTCACTAAGGGATTTTCTGCAGATGTTTATTGGTGATTGGAAAGCCATTAGGTGTGAAGAGGTGCAGAAAAATATGGGCAACATCATTCTGATAAGACTGATTTCTAAGATGCTCCCACAAAACATCAGAAAGTACCCCCTATTATTCTGTTAAACGGAGCTGGGAGTTTTCAAGCAGAGGTAAAGGTCTCTTTTTCCATGGGAAATGTTTCTATGTGTGGATGAAATTCACTGGCACCCTCTCAGAAGATCAGTTGCTACCCAAAAGTGTGCCTCTGGGAGCCACCACAGACATGAGTTGCTCCAGTTGTTCAGTATCTCATGACAACTTTCTTTTATCCAGCCCAGTCCATTGCATGAGTATTGCCTCAAAGTAAGCACTGCATTAACTAATCATTTTGTTTGTTCACAAAGAATTCATTTCTTCCCAATAACCAAAGTCTCCTCCAGGGCATCTTTTATAGCATTCCCATTTATTTTGAAGTTACTAGCTTCTCTGTGATTTTTCAAGATTACAGAGGCACAGCTTTTCAAGGTTTTGTTGCCTCATATAAATAGTAGAAATTGCTGAAAAAGCATTAAAAGGGAGCCAGCATCGTTTAATGGAAAGACACCTTACCTCACAGTAATCTCTTCATCTCATCATTTCTTCATCTCATAGAATCTCATGCTTTCTTCATCTATAAAGTGTTGATTTCTGAGATCTATTCCAACTCTTTGAATTCTATCTTACTTTACCATTATTTTAAGCTTCCTTTTTTTAAATTTTTGAGATGGGGATCTCACTGTCACCCAGGCTGTAGTGCAATGGTGCGACCTCAGCTCACTGCAACCTCTGCCTCCTGGGCTCAAGCCATCCTCTCACCTCTACCTCCCAGTAGCTGGGACCACAGGCGCGTGCCACCACACCCAGCTAATTTTTTGTATTTTTGGTAGAGATGGAGTTTCATCATGTTGCTCAGGCTGAAGCTTCCCTTTTTTAAGTCTTAAGTATTTTTAAAGTATTAAGTAACTGCTACTCTAGAGCAAAATGGAGTAAAGCAGAAGGCAAGATCTCACTATGAGCTATTTATCAAATGACTTTGCAAAAGATACTCTGCTGAGGCTCCTTATCTAAAGACACCTTATGATAAGGTGTACATATAAGAGTAGGTAAAAAGTTAAATAGCATCAAGACACAAATGCAAAAGATGATAAAGGACAGCCTATGATTACCACCACAAGAAAGGAATATTTAAAACAGGTTAAAACCCACTAAAACCCATTAACAAGCATGGCAAACTATAAAAATGATGAAGGGGGGACTGCATACAACCCCCAAAGAAGTTGCCTTGTTCTCATGCAAATCCTACAACTACACTTCCCTCCCTCCCCTGGTGCTGATGTTCTAGATGTACCTCTTCTCTCTCCTCTGACAGTCTTGAACAATGCCTGCCCTTCCCCTGTCCCTGGCTCCCCAGACCTCCTGTACAGTTCTTGGCGTGGGCAGGGCTTCCGGCCTTCTCTGGCTTCTCTGGGGCAGCTGCCCACACCTTCACCCCTCAAAGCTCTCTGCCATGTCATGCTGCATCCCTGAGTGTTCAAGGAACGTAGATTTTTCATTGAGGCTGTATTGCCGATGGCCCATGAAATCACCTTTCTTGAAACGTTTATTTTAATAAATGCCTATGATTGGCCAGGCACGGTGGCTTGTGCCTGTAATCCCAGCACTTTGGGGGGCCAAGATGGGCAGATCACCTGAGGTCGGGAGTTTGAGACCAGCCTGGCCAACATGTTGAAATCTCATCTCTACTGAAAATTCAGAAGTTAGCCAGGCGTGGTGGCCTGTGCCTGTAATCTCAGCTACTCGGGAGGCTGAGGTAGGAGAGTCTCATGAACCCAGGAGGCGGAAGTTGCGGTGAGCCAAGATCATGCCACTGCACTCCAGCCTGGGTGACAGAGGAAACGCCATCTCAAATAAATGAATAAATGAATAAATAAATAAATAAATAAATAAATGCCTATGATTATGTTTCTGTAGCATTTGGCTAACATCTCCCAATCCAAGGAGTAAGAGTGGACTTCACTGTTCTCCAGCCACATTCCCTCCCTCAGTAATGCTCATTTGATAAAATGTGGAGGATTATCTTTGGGGGTGGAGGTGACTGTACTAAAAAAGACTGCTTCATGAATTTTTATTTGTATAACGTGAGTAGGAGGGCTAAGCTCTCCTCTAACAAATACTCATGTATGCAGGAAATTTGGGAGGAAATAACCCAAAGGCCTGTGGAAAATCCACATGAATTCTCAGCAGAGAATGGCCCTTGGGGTGTGTGGGTTTGCACATTCATGGTGGACAAGGCGGTACTTTGAAGGATTTTCCAGGCAACACTGGTAACTATGTCCTAAGAAATGGGCCAGTGTGAAAGTCTTTAGGAGGGTCTGCTAAAAATGCAAGCTTAAGAATGGTTGGCCCCAAATGGAGTCCCTTTCATTTTTTCTGCAGTTATTACATTTCTTTATAAACAACAATTAACTTGCCATTGGGAACAGTGAACTTCTTTGTCCAATTTTAAACGTGAAAAACAGGGATGTCGGGTGATGATTCTGGTTTTCTTTACCAGTTACTACTATTATTAAAAAGTACATTGCACCCAAGGTTGGAAGAAAGAGATGAAACATGTTCAATATTACAATACCTCCTTTTTACTTTGGTAAGTGGCATGTTTGAACTTAGATGAAAAGTCTTTCATCTCTTGTATATGTGTAGATAAATATTGCTATATGTATACCTGTGGTACCTTTATGTCCTCATATGTCTGCGCTTAATGTAAGAATGAAACTTTACTGGTGTATAAGTACCCCACTAAAATAAATCTACTAAGTGTCAATGCGTACTTGGAAAATTATGAGTTCATGGATTATTCTGTGATTCTATTGTGTTGGTGTGGGGATAGATAGACCATACTTTACTCTGAGTAACTTACAAAGAACACTAAATAAGTACATCCGTAGTTACTGCTTTCCTTAATCAAGATATCAGATTATCAAATAAGTAATTAAGAGAATACACACACATACACACACACAACACACATACATATTAATTGCTGTGGAAGAAAAGCCTTAAGAAATTGGGATTCTAAAATGAATAGTTGGAGAATGTTTATTTTGAATGATAAGGACCTTGAGCAATTTCCTTACCCTCTCTGAGCCTCAGTTTTCTATTATGTACTTGGGATAATAACACCTCTTAGAGAGATTGGGAGAACCGAATGACATAATTCACATTCAGTACATAAAACAGAGTCTGGCAAGTAGTAAATACTCAAAAAAATGTTAGTTTGTATTATTACTATCAGCTGAATAAATCACTCTCTTATGGAGCAATTCTAATTTCAAGGTTAAGTATTTTCTGATGCAATATTTTAGGATCAGTTTTGTGACTTCATGTTAACGTCATTATTTTACTCCTTTATGTATAGAGAGTACTTTATATTGCAGATTAATATACAACTTAGCATCTGAGTCAACAATACTCTGAGACAAACAGATAACTGAGATTTTAGAAGATTGTCTTCATTTAAAGCATGGGTTTAATTTATAAAGAAACCTAACTATTTGTTATTCTATTTTGAGAACATATTTTGTTTTCATAATGGCAATCAAAAGGAAATAGGATTCAAATTCTGAAAAATTAATTGGAGACTTTCTTCTGGATAGCATCTATTTAATGAAGTGAGGAATCCCAAAAGTCACATCCCATATTCCTATCCTAATTATCCACAATGAAATCCTAGTTTTTCAATAGGTCTGCATGGATCTTTCACACACTCTTCTTAAAACAAAGCTGTCAACCCCACATCACAATGCTACTATATATAATGACTTTACATAAAAGAATAGAAGCCAGCCATTTTTAGAAAATGCAGGTGCAATGTAAGCCCCTTTCTGCAAGAATGAACTTAGCTCAGTTTCCTTGGAATAACTGTAGACTTGAAACTGAAAACTTTATTAATGCCATTGTCTCCTTGTATCAGCAGGTTCCAGAGAGATTCCTGGAAGTTGCTCAGATCACATTACGGGAGTTTTTCAATGCCATTATCGCAGGCAAAGATGTTGATCCTTCCTGGAAGAAGGCCATATACAAGGTCATCTGCAAGCTGGATAGTGAAGTCCCTGAGATTTTCAAATCCCCGAACTGCCTACAAGAGCTGCTTCATGAGTAGAAATTTCGACAACTCTATTTGAATGTATGAAGAGTAGCAGTCCCCTTTGGATGTCCAAGTTATATGTGTCTAGATTTTGATTTCATATATATGTGTATGGGAGGCATGGATCTGTTATGAAATCAGCTGGTAATTCCTCCTCATCACCTTTCTCTCATTTTCTTTTGTTTTCCATTGCAAGGGGATGGTTGTTTTCTTTCTGCCTTTAGTTTACTTTTGCCCAAGGCCCTTAACATTTGGACACTTAAAATAGGGTTAATTTTCAGGGAAAAAGAATGTTGGCGTGTGTAAAGTCTCTATTAGCAATGAAGGGAATTTGTTAACGATGCATCCACTTGATTGATGACTTATTGCAAATGGCGGTTGGCCGAGGAAAACCCATGACACAGCACAACTCTACAGACAGTGATGTGTCTCTTGTTTTTACTGCTAAGAAGGTCTGAAAATTTAATGAAACCACTTCATACATTTAAGTATTTTGTTTGGTTTGAACTCAATCAGTAGCTTTTCCTTACATGCTTAAAAATAATGCCAGTGACAGATGAGCAGCTCACTTTTCCAAAGTACCCCAAAAGGCCAAATTAAAAAAGAAACATATTCACTAGCAAGCCTTTTCTAAGAAAAGAGGCAAACTCTGAAAATAGTACCAGTTTCTTCTGGAGGCAAAGCAATTTTGCACAAAACCAGCTCTCTCAAGATGAGACTGGAAATTCATACCTGGTCTTCTAGTCACCTCTCTAAACTCGACAATAGGTTCTTCTTCATAAGTGAGCTTACATCATTCTTCATAAAGAAAAATCCTATAACTTGTTATCATTTTGCTTCAGATACTAAAAGGCACTAAGTTTCAAATTTACACTGCTCAACTTTGTTTGTGTGCTTAAAAGGATTCTGTTTACTTAACACTTTTTTCCCCTAAAATGCTATTTTCTGAATACTTTCTTCCAGTAAGGAATAAAGGAAAGCCCAACTTGGCCATAAAATTCTTGCCTACACTAGAAGTTTGTTGACAGCTGTTAGCTGACTTGATCTTCATCTCCTAAGAGGAACACATACATTTTCGCATGCAATGCCACACTCTCCTGATGGGTATTCAAAGTGGTGACAGTCTAACTCAGTGTTTCTTTATTTTAGGTATAACATTTTAAAGCAATTGATAATGCCTCTTCCAATTCAGAAGCTAGTATTGACCAAAATGTGAGAAGAGTGTATAGCATAGGAAAATTTGGGGTTAACCCGAAAGACACAATTCCAGCACACGTAAGAAAGCTAGCTGCTATTTTATGCTTTCTTCAATGGTTCTCCTCTTTTTCCTTTTTTTTTTTCCCCCTGTTTTTCAGTGATGTACAGTGTTCCATACTTGCATTGAAAAAAATTGTATGGCATTCACACTTTTTTTCTTCGGTGGGTTTTTGTGTGCAGATGCAGTAAGAATTCATTGTTCATCCTAAAACTGTTTTCCAGACCCCTCCTTCCCCTTAGGTAATTTGATATACACCTCCTAAAATGACACAGTAACAAATCTGGTATTTAGAACATATAGAACATAAATGCCATTTTTTAATTCAATTTTAATAAGAATTACATTTGACTTTGGAGAATACAGGTTTTGACCCATGTGACTGACTAGCTGACCCGATCGCTGTAATTTAACGTCATTTATAAATCTGCTGATGGACAGGAATGTATGAACTCAATTATTGTCAGCACAAAGCCTTAAAACCTGCTGACTTTAAATTAAACGGTGCAGTCCTATGATGCCCTGCACCATCCAGGGGACTAACAGGGCCTCGCAGTGTGGACAGAGGGTGCAGCCGCATGGGCTGGGGCACCAGCCACTTCACTCTGCACCCGCGGCCTCACACATCTCCCAGCTCACACTACTAATGCACAGAGTCATTAGATCCAATTTGTTATTTTTCTCACTTGCTTTAAAACAAAAACAAGTTTGGATAATCATGACATTGGAATAAAGTGGGAAGAAAAAATTCAGTCAGCACAAAGTAGGGAAGCGATCTCAACTTGTCACACTTTTCTGACTGGCTTTGTTTAAAAGAGTGTGGCCTTCCTTGTTCGTGTCAGTACACCACTGGGTTTTTGCTGTTCCATGTAATTCATATCAACATTGTGTTGCCATTTGCAAGGTAAAAGGCAAAGCTGTAGTGTATTCACCTATGTAGACAGATTGCTAGGTATCTTTTTGATCTGGGGTGAGTTCAATATTGATTCCAGACTTATTTGGATTTTTTAGTATTATTTTCCCCTCCCTTCTAATTTAAATAGACAAATTAAGCAAAAGTGTGTGTTCGCAACCAAATGTTGATGCCCTTATCTACTGATAATATCCTCTCAATGTTCACTGAGGCATAGAAATTATTTCAGAGTAGAAATTGCAGCATGAGGATAAACTCACCTCTTTGTTCTGAAAATAGAAATTTATCACTATGCTTTCTGGTGGTTTTCCCTCTCAAAATAAAAATCGTGTGCCTCCCAAGTGCACTGGAAAATGACAAAAGCCTGTCTCTCCAAATTCCTATTTAACAGTTTGATTTTTTTTTTTCAAATCACCTTCTTTGAAATCTTAGCTCAACTCTCACCAAGAGAAAATTGGCTACTTGGGAGAAAGTTAACTTTCTATGGTGGGAGGGTGAAGGATGAGGGACAGTTTACATAGGGAAAGAAAAAAAAGTCTAAAGTCCATGTTGAAAAACCACACTACCACTTATTTTCTGCTAACCCTAAATTATTTTTGCGTATACGCTTGAGGTTATAGTCTGTGCCTAGACCTAAAATGCACCAGCGGGGGGGATTTTAAAAAATCCTTCAAAATACCAGTTTTTTCCCAACAAGTACAATTGTTCTTGTGCCTTCTGTGGCTTTCGATTTCATCTTTTTGACTTTATTTCCAATTACTACAGCTGCAATAAACACTAGATTTTTTTTCTGGCTGTTTGACATAACGTTGATAGCTATGCATATTTTGTGTCTTTTTAAAACAAAGCGGGAGAATACGTTTTTGAAGAAGAGAATTTTTAGAACAGTTTGATACCGCAAATTATTTTTTCCTCAATTGTTTGAGCAGCATTCGAGTTTTGAAAATTCTTGTAGAAGCCAATTTTTTGTAACTGTGGTGCAAATCTTGTGTTTTCTTAGCCTAATGAAAAGTAGTATAGAAGCAATATTTCATACCATGTGCTATATATGTGTGTGCAGATGTGTGAACATAAAAGCACATACACACATATACACACATGTAAAAATATACATATATATATATGCGTGTGAAGTGGAAAGCTTACCTTTTCCTATCTAGATTTAAGAACCTATTTTAGACATTTGTTATGTTTTGTGAAAAGAATGTTCTATTTGCAACAAAACATTTAATTCTTACTGTATCTCTGGCTGTTTAATGAGGACGTTTCACATTAACTGGTAAAACACGTGGAAGATGTTAGAATGTAGTAATTATTTAAGTAAACGTTCACCCACATATTCCTGAAGTTTGCTTTGTGCCTCCGAGTATTATTTAATTAAAGTGTTTTATGTTTGCAGAATCTTTGTTACTGTACTAGGGATGTGGGTGAATATCATTTAAAAAAATTTTAAACAAAAAAAAGCAAAACAAAAACACTAAAGCAAGAGGGGAACTTTTATAAAGCAATGTAAATATTTAACCTCATGGCTGTCATTATGTAAGACATGAGATTTTAATAAATAACTACATTCTCACGACATCTGTCGAATTTACTAGGAACACTACAGTGACTGTACAGACAGTTGAAAGCATTCTTGAAAATCCTGCTCTCTCCTTTTAAAAGTTAACAATCTCTTTTATCAGATATCAAGGGCAAGGGTAATGCAGTTTCTGTAAATTTATGAAATTTCTTTTTCTATGTACATGAAGACATTTAGTAACACCCCCCTTCCCGTGCGCGCACATGGGCATGCACGCATGCGCGCACGCGCGCGCGCGCGCACACACACACACACACACACACACACACACATTGTCATAAAGCTAATGATTTGGGGGCTTTAAAAAATAGGATGTCCTCCAGGAACAATCATAAATTTATGAAAGAAAGAGTAGTTTACAGACTCCCCTGAAAGAAGCAGTGTATATGTGAAGACAGTGCAAAAATCTCTTTGCCATGTATATTATAGCGTATTCATTGGTGTGAATAGTACAAATGTTTCCTTCTGGTACAAACTCTGTGTTTGCAAATTACAAGAAGCATTGTTTTCAAAAAGCTCCCCTTAAAAAATGTAACTGATTTATATGAGTAAGCAGTTACCGTATTGCACTTAAATGTTATGTTGAAGGAAATGCAGTTTTGTTTTCTGTAGATCTGTTGGTTGTAAACCATCTATAAAACTAAAGCTAAAATGCTCATATTCAGAGCTGGGATCAAAACTGGTATTTAACCTTTGCATCTTCTTATAATTATCCTTCTAAGAATATAACACAATGTGGAAGTGTCTGGACTTTGAGTCTTTTCACTGAGCCCTCTCTCAAATCTGACACCCCCTCAAAATGCACAAACATAAGCAGAAAAGGCAAACAAGCTTAACTTCTTTTATGAAAATGTATTCATTCTGTATTTTTTTAATATTCAATTCCCCTAAAAAGGGGGAGAAAACATTTTAAAATTGTATATTACCACTTCAAATTTAGAACTAAGAAAAAAATGTATTTGGGATTGGTCTCAGTGCTACCTAGAAGAATCAAAGGTCGTGGCTTCCCTCAATATTGTCCCAGCCATTTCTCATATGTATATAGTATAAACCGTGACAAAACACTGCCTTTATATTATTTAGCAATATGTTGTAAATAGCATTATTAAGCTCTTTTTTGTAATAAAGACCCTTTGATTTGAATATAGTACAATAACTGAACTGATAAAGTCAATTTTTGATTTTTGTTTGTTTTTTTTTAGCTAGAGGCAATTTCAATTGTGAATTTTTGTTGTTGTCTATTGTTCTGAAGACTTTGCATAATTTATTGGTTTAATTTATCCTAATTTATTTGATGAAGGTGTACAATTTTGTATTACCAAGGATGTACTGTAATATTAATTGATATGATAAACACAATGAGACTCCCTGTCCATATTAAAAAGAAAATAAAAAGGTGCAGTAGACAATTGATTTTAAAGGAAAAGTTAAAAAATTAGTTTGGCAGCTACTAAATTTTAAAACAGGAAAAAAAAAAGTTGTTGTGGGGAGGGTGGGAAAGGGGTTTTACTTTGTGTGTTTTAAGCTTTTGTATACTCTCCAAACTTTTACCTTTTGCTTTGTACCACTTAAAGGATACAGTAGTCCAATTGCCTTGTGTGCCTTCCATCTCCTCTTAAACTGAATGTATGTGCAGTATATATGCAAGCTTGTGCAAAATAAAATATACATTACAAGCTCAGTGCCGTTTGATTTTCTTAAAGAATGAGTGACTTTTAATTTTTGGACCTGTATCCAATTGTAGAACAGTAGGCATATGGAGATTTTCTTTCTCTACAACTCTTAATTCTGTTAGCCTAAAGTGCAACTCCTAGAAACAACATTTTTTACTTTAGATGCTTGGAATAATTGCTTGACTTTCTCTCTCGGAAACATCTTCTTTCAGGCTTAACTTTATTTAGCCCTCAAACTTTAAAAAAAAAAAAAGGCTTCAGCTCTAAGTAATATTTTACTCTTAATTCAATAATTGTTAATGTTGAATGATTCTAAGAACAACAAAAGATGTTCCCAAAAGTCACAGAATGGCAAATACATTACTTAAAATATGGGGATTCAGGGCTTGCACTGTTCTTACTGTGGATGAACTCAGAACTAAGTACTAATGCAAATTTTCAAAACCGTTCTAAAATGTTTCTCTTGACATGACCGGCAGCATGTTCCGTACTAAGAGCATTGGTTGTATGGCTATTGAAAATTTCTTTTATCTATTTCACTTTGTTTTAAAATCATGTCTCCTTTATTCTTAAATTAAGAACAAGAGGAACTAGCAGAAATCACCTGCTATTGAGATTGACTCTATTATCCACCACTCACTGCAGCTGTGCCTTGCTTGTGTCTGTACATGCTGTTGCAGACTGAGTCTTCATCATGTCTCAGATTTCTTCTTTTGCTTTCCCCTTAATGATGAAAACTTTATATTTTGACCCTATTGGCACAAGGGTGCCTGAAGTCAATGCAATATTAAAACTTTATTAAAGGATAATAGCATTTTTCCACTTGCAGCTCTTTTTCCTATCAACGGCACATATTTAAATTCTAGTCTTCCGAACTAACTTGTGCAAAAGAGCATACCTAAGTCCTTCATGCCAAAATATTCATTCCCTGATTGGAAAAAAATATTCCCTCCTTCCACTATCTCTTCTTGGAAGGGAGAAGGCATTTGTAGGAATGTAGTGACTCCTCCATCTTCTTGTACTTGACAGTTATCTGCTTTATACCAGATTGGATAATTTCCATAGGCACCAAATCACTCAGAGGTTACAGCAGGTAGAAATGTTTTCTGGTAGGAGGTTTATTAAAAATATACCTTAAAGCCCTTACTTTTGTGACTCTAAATTATATGGTGTCATTAGTCTAGAATAAAGTGCACCACCTTCAACAATGATCTGAGCCGTCATCACAAACCCTGTTCCACACGCATGTCAGTGTGACCAGTGCCCTGTGGAATGCATAAGCTTCTCAAACTCATAATAAAGAAAAGATTGGTTTTATTCATTTTTCTCTCCATTAAAGTAATTTTTTAAAATTAACAAGTTTTTCCTTAAAAGCAAGGCTAAAAATCAGCACATATTTACAATTAATTTGTTAATACATGTGGAGGTGACATACAGATGCCCCTGAATAAAAGTCATAGAAATACATCAAATGTTTGTCATGTACTGCCAAATTCTGGGGTCTATGAACATTCCTGAATTTTAAAAGGCATAAAATACAAGAGAAGGATGTACAAAGGAAAATGGCAGATACGTTTTAGAAAATAACAGATACAATAACTAAACAAATTTATAAAGGATTACTGAAGAAATAAATGGTGCTCTACTCCCTCACCAAAGACATAACCCTTTGGTAGAAGGAGGCTTTACAATGGGATAAAAAGCTAAAAAGTAGCTTTTGAAACTAAAGAAGTCATCAAGAGAGCATTGCTTTGGGTGTTAAGAGACCTGTCTCCAATCCATTCAATTCTAAAACTTTTTACACAGCCTACCCAGAGAAAGCTAAGCAAGTCACTTAATGCTTCAGTGTCTCAGGAGAATTGAAATAATTATGAGAGAGCTAAAGGATTGCTAGACTCAGTGTGTTCACCATGTTGACTTTCACCAAAAGATTCCTATCTGCCAGGAAAATGGTGTGTTAGGATGTTTTTGTTTCTCATGAGAAGGCAATTTAAGTGACAAGGGCAAAATTCTGAAGATAGCCAAATGTGACTCTAGATCCTTCTCTCTCTGTTCATGATTGGTTCTCTCCTGGGTAAGTGTCCCTGCTTCTTGCCAAGCATCTGGTGCTCTTGGGTTGCCCCAGCCCTCCCTCTGTTCACAGCAACAAGCCATCTACCAAAGTTAACATTAAGATATCACTGACTTGATATGTTTCTCTTACCACTGGTACATTCATAAAAAGATAAGCAGTGTACAAGAATACATTTTTACTGCTTCTGTATTAGGTCTGAGATCACCTGAATGCGAGTGATTATGGACTGGAGGCTTTCCCTACCAAACCTCAGGCCAGGCTTTTTGAATGGTATTGCTCCTGGCTGCATCTTGCCAAAAGGTGGTATGGTCTGTCAAGGCATTTCTGTCTCCCAGGCCTCCTTCCCCTCTGTCTCCAGGACTGACTTCCTGCCCATGATCGTAGAGTCCTTCTACATCCCCCGCAAAAATCATTCATAAGAACTCAGAGGAGGAGGTACACTTCTCCACTAAAGCCTGGTTTGTTTTTCTGGTTTCAAAGAAAAATTATTATCACTGAAGATATTTCAGAGATAACCTAACCCCGTGGCTTTTATTCCTAGATCTCCAGAGAAATGTGGTTATTGTCTCAGAGGCCACAAGATTAGGACCTCAACAAAAGGAGTTTCATCTTTATATTGAGGTATAATAAAATATTCATTTAATAAAAAGAGTTCTCTGCTTAAAACAGTGATCTCTTTGAGTATAATAAAACAGATTTCTATGTGTGAATGTGAGTACTAAGTAACAAGTAATTCTACCAAACCTTCATTTAAAGAAAGGAGTTCTCTGCTCAACAACACAACTTAATACTCTCATTGGGTAGGGTAAGAGATCTTTAAGGATGAACAGGAAAATTAAAACAGATAATAACACATGTGAGTTCTATCAAACCTTTAAAAAAGAGACTAGTTTTGCACCATGGTAACAGCATAGAGCCTGGCACCTGGTTTGTACTGAATCTCTATTCTCTTTCTTCTCTTCCAGTCAGTGGTTTTAGTTACCTTGCCATGTTGTTTTAAGTTGTGATCTAAGAGCTTAAACACCCACACCCATTCCGACTTCCCAGGACATTCAAATTTTGAAGAACACAGAAGTGCAGCAGGAACTAAAAACTTCTCTCCTACGCTTGCCATTTCCCCAGGCCTCTGCCTTCAGCCTCAGGCCTATAGCTGCTGTGGCCACACCTTCCGCCAGCCATGCTTGCCTAGGCTCCAGAATAAGAGTGGGACAGCTTAGAAAGATTAAGGTGCCATAGCACACTGAAACAGAATCACTTAGGCTGCCTCAATCCTGGCAAAGGGGAGGGTATTATTTGCAAAGCCCCCTGCTGAGTCTCCCAGGTGCTAGCTAGACAGGCTCAGGAGATAGTTTGGCAGTCACCCTGGAAAAAATGCCTGTGTCTCTGCAAATAAATCTGCCAGTGTAGAAAGCACTGGGTTTTCCCCAGTGCTTGTGCAAATAGTACTCTGTGCTTTGCTGGTATTGGAAATTCCTTGGTATAAGTAGCTCTAGACCACGAAAATTGAAGTTATGGATTTCTTGTCATTGTTGTTACCCTTGACCTGTTGGGAAATAATTCCCCAAATCAATAGTCATACTTCCGATTATTCACAACGGAAAAATCTTCAGTAACCAGAAAAATAAATAAATAAATGTGTTACCTGAATTCCCCTTCACGGCTCAGCAACTGACAGTAAGACTGAGCAAGTCTTGAAGTCTGGCACAAAGGAAGGTAGATGTGCATGTGTCCAAGCATAATATGAGCATGGGCATCTGAGTGTAGTTATCTCCTGTTAGAAAATTTCATGAACAACATATAGTTTACCAATGGAGCATTACTGATGTCTTTTCTTCACTTAACATCTAGGAGTTTGTAGAATCAACAGTGTGGTTACATATGTGAAAAATCTCAGTAAAATGGATACATTTTTAAGCAAAATACAGGTATCAACATTTACTCCAGAAGCAAAAACCTTTAAGAGAATCAAGGCCATAGAAGAAAATTTTAAAGTTACTCTGAAAACAAAACAAATATCAGATTAAAACTCCTCTCTTCTCCCCAAAGGCACCTGGCCTTCAGAGTTTTATGGGTGAATTCTATCAACTATTCAAAAATAAGTTATATTGTATAAATAGTATACATATTACACATATATACAGAATTTATACACATATGTGTACTGTTTATATATAACTCAATTTCTTTATAAAGTCCACATGTATTAATGTAAATACAAAACATAATCAAATCCAGTCCAGCAGCATATATAGTATAAATAATATTATACTACAAATAGGGCTCATTACTTGTACCAAGCTGATTTGAAGAAAGATCTGAACTTGCTTCTAAGTGAAATGCAGGAGAAAGTTTCTTGATAGATTGATTTGCCTTTTCTAACATCTAATAATGGTGAAAGCAAATATTTCTTTTCTAGGCTGTCAAGTATCTGCTACTGGGCAATCACTATGTGCCACTGTCTTGTAATTTTTTATTTTACTAGGGCCAAAAAGCCTTTGCTCTTTCAGCCATTTTAGTTTAAAAGATTGTCTAACTCAGAGGCCCTATCTTACTTGAACATATCTTTTTTGGAACTCTGAGTTTTTGGAAAAAGCCAGATTCATCTCGTGCAGCTTTAAGGACTTCCCTCAGTAACTTAAATAAAGAAGAAGAAAAAAAAAATACAGCAAATAATGCCAATTAAAGATAGGCCATTCATTCTACATAAGGGGAATCATGATATTTTTATTTTGTGAAATATTGAATTAAAATTAAAACCTATTTGCTTACATTCTAAAAGGAAAGGATAAGTAGGGTAAGTGTTGAGTTGGGCGGTGCTGACCCCAAGCAATTTGATAAAGCTTATGAGAGTTGCCATTATAGGCAACAGGACTCTTTGGCAGAAATAATACATGAAATGTGTCTCCTTGTTTTTAATATTTTAATTTTTTTTCA